CAATTTTCTTCACAGCATTCGAAAAGTTCATTGATGTTGTGGCCAGGTTATAGGCGGCTACTAAGGAAATAAGGGAGACTGTAAGAGTCGAAACATTCTTTGCCCAGGTCACATATTTCTCCAAGGGTGCACGATAGATGAGTTGATAATTTGCCGGTAAATTATCACCCTTTAAGAGACTGCGCTCCACATCTGCGGAGCTTGTGTTCCGCCACTTGCAGCGTAATGCACTTGTGCTGAGATAAAAGATACACAATTTAGTTATTTCTTTATTATTTAACACAGTTAAATCCCTACCAGATATTTCTTTTGGTTAGCACAGTTGTATTTAACCTTAAATGAATGCATTTAATGCTATTTCGCAAAAGTGCTGCACACATTTTGTTTGTTATGTTAGCTGCTTATGTTTCTAGCCAAGTATGCTGATCAGATAAGCCGTGAGCCCAGCCGAGGCCAATTTAAGGAATAGTAAAAACGCATAATTTTATTTCATATAACCATTGGATTGTATAACAAATTGTATTGTACTTTTACCTATATTAATTAATATATATATACATATATTCGTTCATTGTATTTTCACCGTAGGACGGCTAGTTAAAAAATTGTTTTTATTTTTTTTTCGTGTAAATTCTATGAGCTCGATACTCTGCTCAACAGATGTCAGTATTTTTGTGTGAGCGCAGTGGGCCGTGCGTTTACTGAAATCAGCTGAGCGTTTGGTGTTGCCACTTAGTCGGCAACACAACACAGCAACATATTTTGTTAAGGAGCTGATATTTTGTTAAAAAAGTGATTTTTACGCAATAGTTTTATACTGCACAATTCTGGAATATATAGCGTATTTCGTTGATGATATGGATTTAAAACGTTTGGCATGTAAAACGGGCTTGGGCGATGGCCCAGATGCCAAGCGCACATCAGCTGTAGATGGAGATGAAGATCTTCTGCAGCTGGATCAGGAATCAGGTTTAGATAAAGAAACGAGCGATGCACAGCCAGAATGCTTACAACTAGAAGCTACCAAGGAAACAGATTGTGATAGCCTTAAAGCTGATCACGAGAATCTATCGCCCAGCAATCATGTGGCGCCATACACTGGCAACGGATGCGCCCCTTCACTAGAGTCATTTATGTTCCAACAGACCCCGGCTGGCAGCCAACTCTGCTCCTGGATGTCCAATACTGAGTCCAAGACCTCGGCCAACGATGGACAAGCTCTATTTGAATCGGACAAGGACTCCAAATCGAATACCCAGAGTAAGCAAAAATGAAAAATTAATAATACAATTAGTTACATTAGCATCTTTATATCGGGGCGACTCCCAACTTTAGCTGCCAAGTTAAATCGCAAGGCACTCACCAATTTACGTCGTCAGAATGCATTGCGTGCTCTTGAGTTGGAGCGCGAACTGGCCACAAAGACACCACAGGCCCCAACACTGCTTGTACGCTTTCCAGATCCAAAAATAAGCGTTGCTTCGGTCAGTGAATTTTCGGATAGCATTCGTGATGTGGTCTTTCCCACAAACGTATCGCAGCGTTACTGTTTGGTGCACTTGAAGGCTGGCGCAAATGTCGAACGTACCATAGAGGAGCTAAAGCAGGTGCGCTTCGGTCATGGCCGTTTGCACGCCGAGCTGAAGACATTCACCGATGAGGAGCAGGCTGAATGCATTGATCCTTGCTCATTGTATGTGAGCAATATACCATTCAATATGAATGCCGCCGACATTAAGGTGTTTGTGAACTCCATGCGCGTTGATATTGGCGTTATGAAACGCCAGAAGCGCGCACGTTATGCATTTGTACGCTATGCCAATGCCGAGATGGCCATGGATGCTTTCAGGGATCTGGTGCGCCGCACTCTCAACAATCGCATCTTGACCGTGCGCTATCGTCGCCTACGCAAACGCTTAACACATCCAACAGCGGCCTCGATGTGCGCCATCTCCAATCTGACCATTGATACGATTGCCACTGACGATGATGGCGTTGAATGTCGCGTGATTTCCCCACCACCGGTGGAGTCGATTACCATTCTGGACAGCGATGACGAGGGTCAGCATTGCGAATCGCATAGCGTTGTTAGCCTAAGCAGCAGCATTCCACACAAGAAGCGTGAGAGCAAGATGACCGCCCAGGAGAAGGAGATACAACGTCTCAAATTGCAGGTGGCCGAGCATGGAGCTATCATAAGGAGCCTACAGAAGAGGGAGGGCAGTATTTGTAAGATTCAATTGCAATCCGAATTGATGATCATTATCTAATTGCCTGTTTCGACTACTCTAGCCAATATTATAGCTAAAATTGAGCCACAATCTGATCTGACCACAGACAAGTCTTCTATGATGCAGCGTTCACTGTCGCCGTGTTCTAGCTACGATATCAAAATGGAAAATGATTATTTAGGTATTGCTCAGAGTACGCCCGAGCCGGAGCAGGATTTCTTGCTAGATGCCATACCGAACTCGCCCTATCGTGGCACAACCTGCCCAATCGATGGCATGGAGGATCCCATCAAATGTAAACCAATCAATATTGATTAGGATTATTAAGTCACTCGTTATGCTCATCCTTATCCTTACTTAGCATCCGATTGTTTTGGCTGGTTGATTTCAGGTCTCGGACGTCGCAAGAGCACAAAATCTAGTGCGCAGCAGCAGCAACAGCAACAGCCAAACAACAGTAATATTCAGAACAGCAACAGCAACAGCAACAGCAACAACAACAGCAACAACAACAGCAACAACAAAGAGAACAAAAACAAGAAAACTCCAAAAGTTGCCAACTTGGAGGTGCTTAGTGCGCAAGTCGAAGCCGATTTGGATACATAGATAGGATAGGATTTATGTAAAATCTACCAAATTGTAGCACCTCAAAATTATTTGCGTATAGGACTTTATAATTTTTAATTTTATCATCAGCTTCATACATATTCCTTATATGTATATATGTCTGCTTTTTGTGTACCCCAGTAGTAGTAGTAGTAGTATTAGTAGTCGTCGTCGTCCCAGTAGTAAGTGAAGAAATAGGGGTTTTTTACCGAGTAGTAGTGTTTTAACATTCATATTTATTTGTATTTTTTTTTTTGTTTTTCGATCACTTTTGCAAAATGTACAATTCTATGAAATTGTAACACACAATATAAGTAAATTTAATAATAATAATATTTCGGTTTTAAATGTTAAACCCGAACAAATATCGCTTACATTTTTCTTACAAACGAAACACTTACACTTATACATACATATACTATATAATGTTTTTATACTTCATTATTATTTTTTGATTCACATACGATCTTAAGTGCTTTAGTTTCTATACCTCCAAATAATTTCGAAAAAATCGAAAATCTTTTTCAGTTTGAAACTGTAACAATTCGAATTTTAACTAAAATAAGTTGCTTGATCGTTAAGAATTTTGTTTCTTTTTTGATTTTTTCATATGGCTCGCTATAGTTAATATCGCAAATTGTCATCTTTAAGTTACATAATATACTCGTTGTATTGTCTATATATATTTATATAGACTTATGATATGATCCTGATCTCCTGTTTTGCTCTTTTTTGGAATGTTAACTATTTAAGAATTAATTTAAATTACATTTAATGCTGATTTATATTAATTTTTCTTTTCCATTTTGTATTTACAAAACAACGATTTTAAGGCACCTGTTTTACATGATATTCATATATACTTACTTACATATATATGTATCTATATGATGTAGTTTAATTCTTGTAATTTGAATTGACAAATCTTAAATTTTTTTGGTAGCCCGCAAAAAACTGTATTTGTGAAATTTTGAAAACGACTAAAAAAAACCAAATATTTTTTATAATATCTTTTATAGTTTTATGTAATATTCCCCGCTAGGCTCAAATCGATTTTAGCTAATTATAAATTTGGATAGGCAGCAGAGCAGGAAGGTGCTGAACAGCACGCTGGCAGCAGAATTACTTGTTAGCTGATAGGACCCTGCACCGGAACCGGTCCGTTCCGACATTTCCGGTTCGAAGGGTTCGTCATTGGACTGGTTATCACCGACAGCTGTTGTTTTCGAAAGCAAATGAAAAGTTCAAATTAGTACATATTCACAAAAACATTTCAGAGAGTTCTCATTATTATATATTTAGGAGCTAGGCATATATAACTAAGCTAAGTTCCATTATGGTGCATGACTTTTGGACAAAACTTTATAAAGATTATTGGGTGTATATATGAAAAGATTTTAAAAATAAATTTTAAATAATTGTATATTAATTGCCAAAAATGATCAAGACTTATACTAAGCTAACTTAAGAAAAATTCAAAAATAAATTAAATAATTTACGTAATTAATGCAACATACTGTTCCACTCTGTGCGCAAATGTTTTAAAATGTTGAATTCATAAGCGAATTCCTGGCGTTTTTCTGGGCGTTTTGCAATGGCGGCGGCTGCTTTTAGTTCTGGGCGTGGCATTTGTGTGTGATAGTTTTTATTGATTTAAATACTTTGTTTTTGTTTTTTTTTTTTTTTTAGACAGAGATCACTCAAGCAAGCATATTTATATGGACGTAATACAACTTAAGGCACGCTTTTATATATATATGTAATATGTACAAATATATATATTTATGATAATACAGTTATGTAGTTGTTGTTGAAAACGAAACTCTGAAGGAACTGGAACAAGTACGCGCGTTCTTTAAAAGTATCGATTCGTTAGGCTCCACATCCAGCCGGGCAGCAGACCCATGCCCGGGCTAAAGCCCGTATTCGTATTTGGAATCTGGGGTACTGCATGATGGCAGTACGTTTTGGATGAAATTGATAAATTGGATTGCACGCCCAACCGTAATGAAATGAGCAAATGCATATGAAATAAAGAAAAATTTATAAAAAACAAATAGAAGAGATAATCGCATAAATTACAATTTGAGCAATTCAATTTGTGTGCGTCTTAGCGGGCGTGCGTGCGCAAGCGTACGTGTTGTCTGTGACGTAACTACAATAAATCTACATACATACGATATATTTGTTCTACGTATGATTGCGTATGCGATTGCGACTGCGTTTGCGATACTTTGTTTAGCAAGCGATAGCGATGGCGATAACTAATAATCAGTTCGATCAACTAGCATAGAGTTACAAGTACTAAGAGTGAATACACAAATAGCTACAATTAATAAAGCTTAATTACACGCGTTGATAAAAGCATACACACACACACACAGGCAGACAGAGTGAGTTATTGGGATGCGGGGCTGGGTATCAATTAATTGCTATCATACACAATTACGAGTGGGAGCATGGTTACATAGAGGGAGAGAAGCAACAAGCAGCAGTAGGCGGCTTGTTAAACCTAGCGCGCATTAAGTTTTTTACATTCAATGTTCTCTTCCTTCTTGCTGGCTGATTGTGATTGTGTGAGTGTGAGTGTGTAATTGAAAGCAAAAGCAACAAGTGCATCAGTCATTGGCTTCGTATGCCTTTAGCTATGCGTGCATTACATTGTTTTTGCTTTTGCTATGTTCTTCTCTCATTGTATACATGTGTGAGTGGAGCTGGAAGTAAAAGCAACAAGTAGCAGCGCAGCGCAGCAGCAGCCGGTGACTCGGCTCCAGCCTTTCACTGTGCATGCATTAGTTTCTTTTTACTTTTGCAATGCTCTCGCTCTCTTTCTTATTGTCTCTGATGTGTGAGTGTGTTGGAGTAAAGTAACATCATCACCATCAGCTGATGCCATGGTAAGCATATGCGCTCATTACTTTGTTTTTGCTTTTGCTCTACTCTTGTTGTGTAATTGGATTTGTGTGGGTGTGTTGCTAGCAGAAAGAAGAAAAACAATCGACGGCAGTCGTACCAGCAGCAGCCGGCGAATTGGTAAGCTTTGTTTTTGTTTTTGCTTTCGCTATGTCTTTGTTCTTTTCTTCTCATTGTCTGATTGGATATGTGTGCGTGTGTGTGTGCTTTGGCGTTCGTTGTTATTGCTGTTATTTTCGTTTTATTAGTTTTTTGCTTTTCATTTGTGTTGTGTTGCAGTTGTTGTTGCTGCTGTTGTTCTTGTTGCTGTTGTATTTGTTGTTAATTGTTCTGTTTCGTTTTTATCCGCGTCTCTTAAAGCCTGCAAGAAATATATGTATGTACATACATGTAGACATGTACGTACAAATGGATGACATACAGTTGAAGTTCACAGCTCGATTTATGTAAATTGAACGGGTTATGGGCAGCAGGCACGTGCATGCATGTGTTAAGTATTCAAATTGGCCGACTGACTGTCAGCAATCGTGCAATCTGGGTCAAAACATAACGGGAGTGGACCACATACATACATTAGGTGGATAACATGTGAGCAAATGAGTGTTTAAGTGGGAGTGTGTGTGTGGGAGTGTGGGTGTATACATATGTGTGTGTTTGTGGGACTCATGCTTGTCTTGTGGATTTAGTATTATTGATAAAGCATGCAATTAAAAAAAGATTTGTGTGAGCTCAGTAGAAGAGCAATCCAAAACATAAAGGAAGCCTTTAGCCAATTGAATTTTGTGCCACAGGTGTCCAAAAATGGATTTCGAATCGAACATTGTACGCATAAAGTGTTGAAGAATGCCATAATAACTACAGGGTATACATACATCGATATTTTTAGTTGGGTTGGGTCACTTATGTAACTAATATTAATATTACCATAGTACTACAGCAAATAGAATAATAGATACTTAGTGGTTGGGTGTGTAGGGGGTGTACGTACTAAGGTTTGCAAAAACTACACTTTGTGTGGATTTACTACATAGTAGATAAATAGTTGAGAGGGGTTTCATTGTGGTGTTTGACAAATAGTGTTGTAAAAGTGTGCATAGTGTTGTAAAGTGTTGCGTAGTTGTTGATTAGATAGCTTAGTAACTTTTGGATGCAGTCCTTTATAGTTAGATTAGCTTATTAGTAAAGCGCATGCAAAGTTTCGGGTGCATGTGGATTCTTAATATTTAGGTAGATTGATTGTAAAGGTTTATTGCCTGGTACCGCCCCAAATGGGAAGCGGGGGTGAAGTTAGTGAGACCGACTGACCAGTAGTTTGTTTTATTGAATTTCATATCTGTTTTCTCTTTTCTTTCTTTTTTTTTTTACACTGTAAGCAAGATGGGATTATAATATTATTATTTTCAATTTTAGACCTTTGTATAATTTTAAAATTTTCTTGGTTGGCTTCTTGATTTGTTTATATAATTTTTTACATGGTATGCTAAATTGAGTTGGTTAGGAAGCGATAAATTAAGATTAGAATAGTTTTTAATAGGGAGACCAAGCCGTTTAAATAGATACACATGTTAGAAAATTTTTTACGAAACGTTAAAAACAAAAAACAAAAAAAATAAACATTAATAAAAAAATATATATTCCTTGAACCAAAAATAAACAAAATCATAATAAAAATTAAAAAATTAAAAAATAAAACTGGGAATTAGTAACATAAACCAAACAAAAGTTTGTTATGAATATAAAAGCTTGGTTAAAATTAGTTGGGAAAGACTTGATTAGGATTATTAATAATGATAGAAACCGTTATAGAACTGAATGATGGTTAGGATGTGTACGAGTGTACAAGGTGTTGCAAGGATAGTGTAGCCTAAAGCTGATTCAGTTCCGAGTACACTGAAACAAACTAAAGTAAAACACCACAAAATAGAAAAAAAAAAATCATAAATCATATATACAACAAAATGATATAGTATACAAGATCTACAAGTACTAGGAGAAGAAATTGGACATACACAATACGAGAATTAGTTTTCAATATAATATAATAATGTATTTTGTTCTTTCTTTTTTTAAGGATTTTTTTTTTTTTTTTTTTTCATAGTTATTTGTTGTTCGATGACAAACACATTGACTTCAATTATAGAATTGACTACAGTAGGAGTACGGTACATACATACATATATAAACTTAATTAAACATACCATATTTTTATATAAAATTCATTTATCTCTATCTCTCCATATAATTCGAGAGACTTGCAAGAATTTCTTTTCTGTGTTTCGTAAAGGAGTTTTAAACATTTCTTGGCTGGTAAAAAGTAACAACTCATATCATGTTTATGAGATCTTTTTGACTTATGTTTCGATAAATCTATATCCTTTTTTTTTTTTTTGTTTGTTTACAGTTTCAATTACTATGGAATTATTTGCTTGGTTTCAAACAAAACTACCGCTGAGTCGATCCCACTCACCTGCGTCCAGGTCACTACTATCACCATTACCATCATTGGCATTCAGCTGTGATCGCTGCTCAGAGTCAGCAACGTCTTCTTCAACAATATTACCTGTCGACGAGGGCGTATTCTTGCAGCCGAACCACCAGTGCGCCGTGGGCCTTGGGAATGGCGGCGTTGCCGTATCCACCTGTTCAAAAGAGATCGGTAAGTTGGCATCATTCAGAATTACTATGGCAAATGGTGACCTTTAGATTATTAGGCATTCCTATGTTAGGAAACTCTTAGATTACTATTAGATTATATTCTATAGACTGTAAAAATTCTTAGTGAAGTTCAACTTACCGCGAAGCGTGCGTCGTGGAAGCGATAGTACTTGTCGCCCTTGAAGAAGTACGTGTAGCCATTTGTGTATTTGAGCGCTGCATCCAGATTGTTTGGCACGCCCTCCCAGTTGGAGATGGGCTTGGGGTAGCTGGCCTTAACGGGTGGTCGTTTAGCCGGATCGAATCGCCAGAACTTGCTGCCCTTGAAGAAGTAGATCTTGCCGTTGCCACCCCAGACCATAGCCGCATCCAAATGATCGGGAATGCCAGTGAAGCCTTCGCTAATCTCCTTGGGATATGCGCCATCCATTTGGCTGCCCTGGTAGCGCCAGTACTGAGTACCCTTGAAGAAGTAGGTCTTGCCATTCTTGTACGTAAAGGCTGCATCGATGTTGCCGGGCAATCCGGGCCAGCCCTTCGATATGAGTTGTGGGTAGCCCTCCTCCACGGAGTCCGTCGTCAGCTTGTAGTACTTGTCGCCCTTGAAGGCGAAGGTCTCGCCATGCGCCGAGTTGAACAGGGTGTCGATCTTGGAGTCCTTGCAAATGGAGTCGTCCAGCGGCACCTTTGGTGGCGTATACGAGGGTCTGTGTGTGCTAGGCGGGTAGGCGTTGGTGGGCGTGTACTGATTGGTCTTGCGACCGTAGAGCGATTGTATAGCCGCCTTGTCGTCCTCATCCAGTTTGAAGACAGGCTCAAAGCCGCGATAGAAGGGCGCCATCAGAGCTGAGCTCTGATCCGAATGCGAGAGTCCCAAGGAGTGACCGAATTCGTGAGCAGCTACCTGGAAGAGATTGGTGCCACGTGGCGAGCCTATGGTCCACAGTTCCGCATCATCAAAATGAGCATCGCCGCCAAAGACGGGGAAGAAGGCGTGAGCCAAGGTGCCGCCTTGTCCATCGAAGGGATCGCCATCACCATGCTCGCTCTCAACGAATCTGGTGAAAAGGAAGAGGGACAAAGAGAGAGAGAGAGACATGGAGAGTAAATGAGAGATGAGCTATGTTTTCTTTCTTCTCCTTTCTCAAACACTTACTTAATCTCAATATGCACGGGTCCCGATGTCTTCCTGGTGAAAGTTAGATCGGTGTCCTCGCTCCAGACGGCAAAGGCGCGCGCGATTTCGGCATCGACATCGTTGCGCTTCAAGCGCTTGGGATACTTGGAGATCTTGTAGGTGAGATTCTTCACCCGCCAGCGACTGCCCTGTAGAGCATAACGCTTTGCGCGACTATCTCCAGTGCCCACGCGATCTCGGACACCGCAACGTGGCAATGACATCAGCTTCAGAGTCTCTTCATCCAGTTCACCGGTGATATTCAAGCCGGCAAAGCTCTGGAACTCCTCGATAGCGCTGACCCATGTGTGCTTATCCTGCAGTCCGCTGTTGGCAGGATTACGCGCTGAGGCGGGCAGGTAGCCGAACTGTGAGAGATACATCTGAAAAGATGGAAGACGGAAGACGGACAATGAGATTCCTGAATTTTAGTCAGCTGGGACAGCTGCTAAGCCTCTGTCCAGTCAAGATCAATGTCTTGTGCCAGTTGCCAACAAGGTGGCCCCTGATTTATGGCTATCAGATAAGGCACGTTTTGCCTGCCTTGTAATTGTCCTGCGAAGAGAGTTAGTTAACTGCCTGAGGAACTCATTCGTCATTCGTCACATTTCTTGCGCGTATGCAGAAAAAAAAGAAGAAGAAGAAAACAATCCACAACAAAAAACTATCTGACTTGCATAATTTATGACCCAGCACTTTGGCATGGCAATGTTTTATAATATTGTACAAGAGACGAACACCCCTAGACCCCGGCCCCCCGACTGCCCCCGTACCCAACTGTGGGATGGGCCAGACTTGGCGTATGCTCAAATACTTAGAGCGAATCACAGTTACGTGACTTTAATTATGCGATTCGAGGTGTGAAAAAAATATCACAGAGTCGAGCCGAGACGAGACGAGACGAGCTGAGCTGAGCTGAGACGACTTTTGAGTCGAGTCAAGTTAAGGAAGTGTTTTCTTCTCTCTTTATTTGATGGCAATTCAGTTAATTGTAAGTCGAATTAAATTGTAACGCAACTCTTTATAGAGCTTGCTAATTGTGATTAGCATTGAATAGCAGAATAGCGAAAACACTCTCCAATAGGAAGTCTATAAACAAGGCGAGGTTAAAGATGCGCCTAACGGACAATTAGCAGAAAAACTATTCACTAACTAACTAATTAGTTGCATTAACTGCAGCAATTACTTGTATACATACATACATATATATATGCATATATGTATATTGGATTTATATATATATATAATTAGTATTTCAGTAGACTTTTTGAAAGTCTGCTTAAGTACACGATAAGTGGCATTTGGCATGTGAAACATGTGCCGTAAGACGCATGTGTCGCACATTTTTAATGGGTCGCAGCAGTCGGAGCAGCAGCATATCAAATTTATACACTGATACACTGTGCCATATAAATCCAAAAATCAAAATTATATATACGTATACATAGTATATAAACATATATATATATATTTACTCAGAAACGGCGCTTGCATAATGCCGAACAAACCTCTCAGCTGACTGTCGAGTTGATTATTTCATTTTATATATTTTTATAGGACTTTTTATGATATTTGCCGAGGAAGTAAAACTTTTTCGGCTTAAAGGCATAAATATGCGTACAACGTTGCCTCAGGCACAAGTACTTAATAAACTGGGTGGTGCTGTGGTTAATTTTTTTTTTTTTTTTTATATATTTGTCGTGTGGTAACAACCAACGTGAGAGTGAGAGGGTCAGAGAGAGAGAGGGAGGGCGTAGCGGGCCTTAGACTCGCCTCTAAAGGTAAATGAACTCGCTTTTGTTTTGCTTTTCCTGTAAACATGACGCTTGACAAGCGGCAATCAATCTGTGCACAAAAAAAAGAATATATATATATATATAGAGCCTGGCGTAACTGCAGAATCAGAATCAGTCGGAGAATTGAGTTCAGAAAGCGCGATACATGCGAATCATTTGCAACATTTCGTTCCGCTTTGCTGTCAAAATTATATTACAAAATCAAATTAATCTGTCTCTCGCCTGCTGTCTCCCTCTCTTTCTCTCTCGTTGGCTTGCATTTCCTATATGGCTGGTATTTATTATCATTGTTTTGATTTTTCTTCTTCTTATATGACTTTTGTTTCATATACTGCTTTGTATTGCTCCAAATTAATGCGGCAAAATATTTGTCTTTGCTGTCATTTACGGAGATTTGCAAACTGATTCGATCTTGCAGTTTCTCTCTTTCTCTCTCCCTGTCTCTTTCTGTCTGTATATAGTTTTAGCTCTACCTCTTTCCCTGTATATATTTTATTGTATATATATTTTGGAGTAAAATTGTATAATCTTACTCATTCTCTTTCTCTCTGCTACTCTCTCACTCCAGATCCTTCTCTCTCTCACTCTCTCTTATTCTCGTCTCTCGCTCTATTTATTTTACTTAATTACTCCTTTTTTCTGACATGTTTCGCGAAATTCCTAATGAAATATTTATAATCTGAGTGGAGTACCACATCTGTCTCTTTCACCCTTACTCATTCGCTCCCCGTCTCACTCGCTCTAACCCCATTAATATTTGTGGTATATATTTCCTATATAGCTGTTATTTATTACCATTGTTATGCATATTTTGTATTTTATTGTTTCTCATATTATTCGAAATGAATTCGTCGCCTTTCGCAAAGTATTTTTTTTTTTTAAATTTACACTCTGTTATTATTCTGTTAACGTCACGCTGTTAACGTCACATTAACATAAATGGCATAAAATGATTTGATTAAATGGGCTTAAGGAACTATTTTGGGCAAATTGCTTCGCCGTATGAATGAACTTTAGTAGCCTTGATAATGCACTCTAGATTTGTATTTAAAAGTGTATTTCAGTTTCGTTTCGTTTCGTTTTGGGCCTAATCTTGAGGGCTTTTCCATTGCTTGTCGAGTGACTGATGGCAATATTTATTTTTGAGCAGTTTTTTGGGCAGTTCCCCATAGATTAAGTTATTGTTCAAGTTCAAACAAAGCCAGAAACAGCGCCAATGGCCAAAGGAACTAGACCTTGTCTGACTGTGGGCTGGGCTTGCTTTTCAGCTGAGCAAATTCCAGTGCTCGATACTCGCTATTCGTGTTATGCATTATTATGCAATTAACATAATTGCATTGATGCGCTGCAGCAGGGGCACCTCTCTCGTCGTGGGAAAAACATGAAAGCCCGAGAGCCGCGCATAAAATTCCAATTGAATTCTGAATTCTGAATTAATTGTTTTTATTATTGGAACCGGCTTCTGGCCCTGAATGCATATGTTTCCAGCAAAAACAAAATGATTGTGGCAACTGTCACTAACTAAATCGAAGGCAACTGGCGATGAGTTGGCCCAGTCGCCAGATAACAAAGGTGTGTTTGCCAAGCTCTGATAAGATACGTTTGAGTCGATCGAAGACTACAACTGGAAGTCGTACTGAAACAAGTGCCTTTAGAACTGTATTCATTGTGCGTTCTTAACGAGCTCTTATCATTCGACAGCTCGTGATTCATTTACCTGTGGCTGACGAACCATTCCAAATCACCGAAACGTAGTGAAACGAATGAAGTGCGTCACAAGAAATTGATGTGCTCACATTCTCGAGGATTTCGAAACGGAAGTGTGGAACGGAAATGGCTCTATAAAGCGTACACATGACATATTTCTCATAAAAACACAATTAATCTATATAGATATAGATAGATATATATAGCTGAGAGTTGATATGGAAACTTGTATCACTAGCAAAAGTGATACTTATCTTAATGGTTGTGTCAGGCTATTGATAAGTAATTATAACCGCTGTAGTGCATGCCATTGTTATCGATTTGTAAACTTATTAGAGTTGTTGAAACAATTATATATTAATTTTTTATATACTGCCAATCTATTAAACATATCAGCATAAAGAAACAGACTACATCTGTAATTTCAGCTGTTATCGATTCATGCACGATATCGATTAATCAAAGAGCTAATTATTTATTGTAGAATCGTGTACTTTAAGTTTACTCAGGCAATTATAATTTAAGTCATTGAAGCCAACTTTTATGTCGTATGTTATATATATCGACTACAGTTGCTATCGATCAATAAGCTTTTACTGTATAATCGTATGCACATAACAAACAAGAGCTGTCAGTGTGTACTTTAGATAAAATCTGCAATTCACATATGCACAAATTTGTCGCTGCTATCGATATCGATTATTAAGTTAAGCACTTATCGCTGCGAACAATCGAAATGCATTTCGTACATGACAATGCAAACAGCGCACACAAATTATACGAAATTATAATGCAAACAATTTGGCCCGAGTTCACGTATCAGCGCACGTCGAAATTGCACTTCAATTTATGTTTTCACAAATATAGCTGAGGGAGAGAGAGAGAGAGATAGAGGCAGAGAAAGACATTGACACAAATTGGCAGTAACAGAAAAACAAAAAAACATATATGTATAATAACAAATGTGCTGCTGCTGCACAATATGCAAATGGAAATGTCAACAGCTGGAAAGGAGCTAGAGCTAAGAATTGCACTCAAAGCAGACACTTGAAATGAACATGGCTTAGGCTGCACTTGCCATTTGTCTACGGGCTGACCTCTTTGCCTAGTTTAGCCGGCTCACTAGCTCACTGGCCACGCCCAGTGCGCCCCACGCACACACAGCGACTGCAGTTGAACTTGTGCCTGGGTAGCAAAGCAAAGGAAATGGCTAAAGGGCTTTTGCAAATTTTCAAAGCCAGCCCGAATAGAAAAATCAAATAGCAAAACTTGAAGTGAACTAGAAAAAGTGTGCACAAACTTTCCTGAGTCACTGTACAGCTGCTTGGCTTTAAAGTGCTGCTCGGAATGATTCTCCGATTGCAGCACATGCAATATCTTTCAGCTTTGATTGAGTGCTTGAACTGCTTGCGAATTATAAGCTTTAGTGTCTGGCCGAGTCACGAAAACATCTTCAGCTATGCCATGCAATGCAATGCAATGCAATTCCTTTGAGTCATTGACCCGAGGACGAAAATTATAGTAAATAGCCAGAGTTAACGCCTTGTTGGCGTGTTTTGACCCTGCTAGCTCTATATATATGTATATGTGTATATGTATATGTATAGTATATATATATTTCCGCCCAAACAAGCGCAGGACATGCATAAATTATAAGCCAAGCAGCGAGCGTACGTTACATTTTCTTTTTCCCTACACTCGCCCTCACTCTCTCGCTCTCTCTCTCTCTCTCTCTCTCTCGCTCTCTCTGTGTGTCTGTCTGTCTCTTTCCCTTTGGCTACATTTTACTTGACCGGAAATTGATGAGAAAATTGTATTTGCCTCAGTTAAAGTAGGGTGGCTATGTGAGTGTGTGTGTGTGTAGCTCTCTGTGTGTATGGGTGTCTAGGTCTAGGTACATTGGGGTGCGTTTAAACTTTTCCATTTGAGAATTTGGGTCAAGCCAAGTAAGCGCTCGGGTCAATGACTTCCGACTGATGAAAATGCTGGCCAACAAAAGTGTCTTAAAGCCTAGACCTAATTTTAATGCAACGCACTGGGAAACTAAAAGCAGGCAATACACACACACACAGCACATAAAGCAAATCTGCGCAACTTGACCAACTTGTTTTGGCCAAGTCTCTAGCGCCGGTTACATCACGTGTAAAAGTGAAGCCGAATCGAAGCATGTGGACTGCCTCTTAAACAGGAGATAGAAAAACTGGGCCAAATGAGCCGCTAAAAAGGTGCCACAACATTACGCAATAAAGAAAGAGAAAGAGCAAGAGCAAGAGCGAAGAGGAAAGAGAGAGAGAGAGAGAGTGAGAGGGAGATGAGATGAAAAACGCTTGGCTAATAACTTTGTCAGCTGCTAATTCCCATAACTTCCATTTGACATTTAAGCCCGCCCCTGCTGAGCTCTTTTGTTGTTGTTGTTGTTGATGTTTTTTGCCCTCGGTTAATTCGTCGGGGGCGATAAATAAGCGCCTGATCTTAAGATAAACCAAGT